ATTCGATACGGTTGCCGCGAGTACGCGCGAACAGCGATCGACATGATCGCGCGACGCTTGAGACTAGCGTTCCTGAACGTCCAAGCAGCGCAGGAGGCTCTGCCAGGTATCATAGATATCATGGCGGAGGAACTGCACTGGACGAACGACGAGAAGAACAAGCAGCACAAGCAAGCCAGCGATTTCCTCGCGAACGAGATGGGCCAGATGGTGAATCGCGCCTCTCGCGACAAGATCCCCATCAATCTCACCAAGGAAGAAATCCAGCTGTACATCAAGCGGTTCGGTATCATCGACAAGGACAACAAAGGCTACGTGTCCGTGAACGACATCAGGAGAGGACTCAAGGTTCGCGAAACGAGTCTTAGTTTCAACTACATTTTATAAGTTTTATATTTTATAAGTTTTCGTTGACCTTTTTTTTTTTCTCGGTTGCGTATTATAATTATCGATGTCCAGGTACTTGGCATAAAACTGTCGGAAGACGAGATACACGTATTGCTCAATGAAATTGATCTCACTTACAATGGGCAAATGGAACTACAAGATTATCTCCAGGTAAATTATCAATCAATCGTATTAAACCGACCCTCTTTTTTAACGTTCGCAGCTATTCGGTGACAAGGAAGTACCTGGCGAAGAGCTTCACGAAATACTGCGCGAAATCGACACTAATATGAACGGTCAAGTCGAATTGGACGAGTACCTTCAGGTCTGTGACTGCTCGCACGCACGGATTTGCCGTATAATTTGCTGCTTTCAGATCTCCTTTGTTGCATTATTACATCACATAACACTCAGTGGTCTGTTTTTAATACTACACAGAGTCGATTCTAACGTGTTCTACAAATCTATACATGTATATGTAGCATACGCGACTCCGATACACGACGATAAGGAGCAAACGAGAACACGAAACGTAGGGTACGGGGTCGTGTAGGTAAAGCGGTCGACTGCGGATCCGAGGATCGTGGCTTCGAATATCCGTGCCTTATTTTTCGTACAGAGTCCTACGTATATGCATTTAGGGTGTGTCATTTTACACAAGAAATTATAGTGTTCCATAAAGATTTTTATCTCCGTTACAGACTCTACTCAGCGAAATATTATTCTAGAGTATTATTCATCGACTAGAAAATTTGTTAAAAACAAACGAAATACACGGTTTCGTAGAGCACAGAATTATCTACGAGAAAGTATCGCAAGTCAAGTTTGTATTGCCGATACTTCTCGAATTATATGACGTGACGTAAAATTTTTAATTAAAACTGGTGCAAGAATCATGTAGGAAGTTTTTCGGAAGTAACTCGTTAAATATTGGTTTCTTGGAGATTACACAACAGAGCTTTTCTCTTGAGAATTACATTCTCTACAAAAAATGTTGTATACAGATTCTTCGTAAAATCGATCTTTTTGGAGATATTCAATGATTTGTGTTTCGTAACCTCTCTGAAATTTTCAAGAATTTGTTTTTCGCGAATAACTCATAAAATATTAGTTTCTCGAAAATGATACAAGGGAGCCTTTCTCTAGAGAATTAAATTACTTGCAAGAATGTTATATACAGATTTTCCATAAAATCGATTTTCAATCTTTTCTTTCCATCTTGCAATTATATTTATTAAAAATTCAAAAAGTATGTCCCATGTACTTCAAATGAAAAATCGACGAACCAAGTCTGTAATTGAGATACAAATTTTTCATTTACCATCTGCTAAAGCATACCTACATGTATATACATTTACATATTGGTAGAATCTACTACGTAGAGTCATATCGAAAGACCTGTTGAGAGAGAATTGACTTTTAACACTATACTACATTTCTGTATTTGCTCCAACGTAGACATACTGTAACGAGTACTTTAACATTCCTTGTTTTTATTTGCACGAACGGTGTCGTTTGTTGTTAGGTAATATATTTTACGACTATAGTAGCAAGGTAACCATCTAATACAGAATTTATCATTTTGCGATAATACACCCATGACAACTATATCTTGAACCTTTCCGCTTTCTTCTTTTCTTGCAACGTATTCTAGTGTAATGCTGCTCTTGTGCCAGATCAAACTTGTTGTTGCGTGAGAGTTTCTGACACAGTTCCCTTCCACTGTCTCCTGTACCAACAATATAAACGTGGAACGTTTCTTTTCCTCAGATGATGTCTGCCATAAAGTCTGGACACGTGGCGTACTCGCGTTTCGCCAGGATGGCGGAGATGGAGGAGGCGCAGCACGAGAAAGAAGTATTGAAGAAACAGATCAGCGTGGAGAGGTCCGGCGGCGGGCTGTAAAAAAAAATCCACGTTCTGCGGCATCGTACCAATCCTCGTGCGGTTCTTACGAGACTCGACGCATCGACAACCGCCACGACGAACTATCATAGAATCCTCGTTCACTCTGAAATCGGAATGTAGCCTCCTCTAAAGCAGGATCGCCGCGAATCCCTGTATTTCGTACTTTCTACAACGACTATCTCGTTGCATCTACTTGATTTAAATCGGCGATGGGCGAAATTCGGGACAGAAACCTTCGTATAACGAACAAACAATGACCTATCCCGTTTCTCGTTGGATTAATATTAGATATCTCGATCGCTGAATGAAACTTTAATTATAAATAAACTGCTACGCGTTGGTTCCGTTCGAATTGAAACGCCCATCTCTGGCTTCGAGGATGAAATCACACGAATTTTAATTTTAATGTAAATATCTTGTATACAGCGTTTTAGTTACACGAAAATAGACGCGCCGTGTGTGTACATACGCTTTATCGCGAAACGCAACAGGATCAGGATGCATCAACGACGGACGTACACCGGTCGATAAAACTCATGTCGAATTACACATTTGTTCTCACATTGTAAACTTTTCATGTATAGGATGCGAGTATCTCAATCGTCACATACGTTAGGAACGTCACAATTAGAGAAAAAAACGGAGCACAGGGCAGTTTGATGATGGTTTCGTCTCTATTTCTTTTTTTTTTTGCGTGATAACTGCGTTTTCGCATAGAACAACAAATACACAGGTCGAATCGGTCTCTAGGACTCGATGAGACAGTTTTATTTATAAATTATATTAATTACTATTGTATATTAGAACCAGTCTCTGCATAGGTTTCCCTCCCCCGTTATTTAAGTAATTATTATACTTATTTAATTTATTGCCGCTAATGTCACGCAGTCACGACGTACACGATCTATCTTAGAGATTAATTTATTTTACCATCATTAGTCATTATCATTGACTTAATAAAAAGTCGTATTGAACTATCGAACGTATTTTACCCGATGTGATTGTACTACTTTTTTAATTTAATCGTGAAACGACTGAAAGAATTTCAAGAATGATTTTAATAGGAAATTGTAGAATATTTACTAAATTTTAGTGCACGTTAATGTTAAACATTCGATTTGTTTAGTGGAAGTAACAATTTTAAAGGAATTCTTGTTTGAAATTTGGGAATCAGAGAATCGAATTTTTGTTAGCGAATGTAGCTTGAGTTATTAATTTTTGGAAATATCGCTGCCACCATTTGCAATTGTTACATTTATTAGTGAATTGTTTTTTGTAAAGCTCGGGTTAAGGTTGTAATTCTAAGATTTGCTTTCCTAGATAATCAGCAAATATTTTAATTTGTTGTTTAATTATAGACTTCTTTGTTTTCGTCTCTTTTCAGGGAAGGCATGGATTCGTCAACTGCTGAAAAAGTCAAACGAAGTTAACCTGTTAATGAATTCTAACAATATTATCCTCTTATCCTCTCGTGTGCAAGGAATATTCAAGATATCACCCATCCATTCGTAATTTGTACGAAACTAGAACGTACATGTGAGAAAGCTACTGTGAGTTTGTTGGACTAAACATTACTATATTCATCTCTTTCAGAATCTTATCCTCTCCATATAAGAAAAATCCAAGATATCACCTATCCATTCATAATTTGTACGAAACTTCTGATTGTTGGTGACTGAAAATGAGGAAAGAACGTTCATGTGAGAAAGCTACTGTGAGTTTGTTGGACCAAATATTTCTCTATTCATCTCTTAACGAATCTAATCTTCTCCGTACAAGGAAAATCCAAGATATCACCCATCCATACTTATGAATCTAAGCAGATTAATCCTTCATAATAAGGAAAGAAGGTTGATATAAGAAAGCTACTGTGAGTTTGTTGGACTAAACATTACTATATTCATCTCTTTCAGAATCTTATCCTCTCCATATAAGAAAAATCCAAGATATCACCCATCCATTCATAATTTGTACGAAACTCCTGATTGTTGGTGACTGAAAATGAGGAAAGAACGTTCATGTGAGAAAGCTACTGTGAGTTTGTTGGACCAAATATTTCTCTATTCATCTCTTAACGAATCTAATCCTCTCCGTACAAGGAAAATCCAAGATATCACCCATCCATACTTATGAATCTAAGCAAATTGATTCTTCATAATAAGGAAAGAAGGTTGATATAAGAAAGCTACTGTGAGTGATGGATTAAACGTCTGCCTATTCATCTTTTTATATAACTGGAATTATCAAATTCGTGCAAGCTAACAGGTCTCCGAAGACGATTATGCTAACGGTTATCAACCGTGTCAGGACCACGCAGTTGGGCTGGCGAAAAGCAGAGGGCGCGGTAGGCACTGATTTTTTAGAAAATTCTCGAAGGACGTGGAATAAAAACACAGTTTGATCTTAAATCTAACGAAATATATGTTTAGGTACATCACTTAGGAAATCGTGGGACACATATCTCTCCAGGAGTAGCTAGGTACTTCTTATGTATCAATAAACCTAAAAGAGGACTAGTCTCCTATAAAGAACGTTCCAATACCCAGGCACGTCCATCTTGACTTTCACTGCTCGTACTAAGTTTTTCTCATGATATAAGTAAGCATAGAGCCTAATTTAGCGGTCGAATCGATAGAATTTCCCTACTGTAATCGAAATGCTCTCTAAACCTGCGACTTTCCAGATGGCCCGGCTTAACTGAAGCGAGCCCCACGAGGAAAAGAAAGGGCGTCGTCGCAGCGAGGGAGTCTCGCTCCTCCCTTCCTATTCCCGTCATCTGGCAGCGGATCGTTCGCTCCTGGACAACCATAGCAAGCGAGAACATATGCCCAATAACGAACGTATCGCGACCCTGACCGGTGGGCTAGCTAAAAAGAGGGGAAGGAAGGCCAGAGAAAGTAGGAGGTGCGCGTCGTTTATCCCTCTTCGTCGGGGTGGGCGTCGGGACGGTTCCCTGCGTACGCCCCTGTCTAACGAACCTGTGCTCGCTGCCAGCAATTGCGAGGCGAGCGCGACCAATCAGGCGCTCCGTCCGATCGTCTCGCGGACGGCGACGTTGCCACCTCGCGTACCGCCCCACGGCGAAAGTAGTCCTCTCATAGCGGTATTCGTAGCCCTGTTTTCGCGAGGGACGGCCGACCAACACGCTGTCGCGTACGGATATATACGTGCACGTGTCCGTGTCGAGATCGCGTTGGGGAAATTGGATCGCCAGGTGAACCCAGGATTAGCGTGGCCGCGGCATTTCGTCGGTCAGAAGCCCAGGAGGAGGACGAACGCGGTACGAGAGCGTCAAGCTCCACCACCTCTGCGTGCCTACGCGGTGATTTTGGCGGCAAATTCGAACCGTGACTCGACGACTCGTCGCCGCTAAGCATTGTTTACGGAGGAACTGGCGTGGAGGTGCCCCGAGTATCGACCAAGGAAGGGAAAGCGTAGATCGCTGGGATCACTGCGCTCGCGCGCGCGTGCCCGCTGGTGCCCGCCCAACGTCCAACGCTTTTATGTGTGTATAGTTGGCTTCCTCGTGGAACGCTGGCGGTACGGACCTTAGTGAACTTCGGTGTATACTATGTCTAGACGCTCCTTGTAACTATCGCCGTACGATAGACGTACTTTTTACTGTATTCCGTATTATACAATGGCCGCCTCGTCGAGGTGAGACAGGAAGCGCGCGTGGCGTCTGGCTCCCTGGAGGGAAGAGAAACAGTAGCGGGAGCGTGGACGTTTCCACGGAGGAGCACGTGCCAATTCGCGAGTTAGGTGGAGTCCCATGCGCAAAGTGGGTGGAGGCTGCATCGCGAGGCTGCCTTCCCCGTTATCGCAGGTACGTGAGAGTGTGTGGGTTGCGGACAGGCCGACCAGCGCGACCGAGTGGGCGGGTGTGACGACACACGACGCCTGTGTCGGTGGCTCGTGCGCGTCCTTGCCACGCCGCGCGATATTTCAAGAGGGCGGGTGGGGCGGCTGAAACAGGGGCGTAGGGAGGCGGTCCTCGAGCGGGTTCTCGAGGAGTGCTCTCTCTGGCCTTCTTTGTCTCCCGCGGGTCGCTCCTCGCACGTGTCGATATTGTTCGACTCCTTTTTCAACCTCCTCGCAGCGTGGATCCGTTTGACGTCTCTGGCCTCCTCTTAAGGTAGTTGTTCCGCGGATTTAACGAAGAATCTTCAAACTTTCCTCCGGTCTTATTTTAACAGCTATTACCTATAGCAGACTATTTCAATTTAAAGGACCAGCTCAATTTCTTGGAAACTTATACCAAACTTTTGTAACTGTAACGTAGACCCTTGCGGATTTACTATTTAAGGGACCGCTACAATTTCTTAAAACATGATAGCGAAGCTTTCTACCTTTGACACAGACCCTTGCGAAACACCTTGGACTCTCCTACATCTTTCCAATTTAAAGGACCACCCCAATTTCAATTGAAATTACTGCTACAATGTCTTAAAACACGATAGTGAAGCCTTCTAGCTTTGACATAGATCCTTACAAAACACCTTGGACTCTCCTAAATCTTTCCTATTTAAATCGGTATGCGATGGAGGACCTTGCTGAAAATTCAATATGCTACAAAAACCAAAACTATGGAGCATTTAAAAAAAAGAATACTACAATTATTGACTGTACTGTTCTTTAATGCCTGAAACTGACCCTAGAGAAGCTCTGCAATAACAGTCGGCATTGCCACAATCATATCTTGAGTCCCACAAATGTAGTAGGTTGTTCCAAAAGTTTCTTTCGCTTTATTAATAAATAATACATGCACAATATTTTATGTTTTATGTTGCATTACTGAATTGTGCACAATTCATTTTGCTCCATTACTGTTACTACATGAATATCTATGAAATTAGATTGTCTATTTATATAAACACGACGACATAAAATAATTGAGTGCAACTCGCGAAAGAAAGTTTCGGGACAACGTAATAGATATCCATATTGTTATGTATCGTACAGAAGTCTCCAATTGCCAATTTCAACTAACCACCTTGACTGTTGTATTTTGTAACTTTGATAAGCTATGCTTCGATAAGCTTCAACTATCCTGTATTTTAACTGATAAATTTTTACAAAGACTATCTTGAAACAACTACCCCAATGTTGTCTGTGTGTGCGTCTTCTTCTCTGTAACTAAAACACCGAGATCTGAATGCATATGCCATTGTTTGTTACACTAATCTGCAACCTATGACCCTGGGAGTCGAACTGTAACCCCATACCAATTGATCCATCATTTGACATATAAATCCTGTACATACACATTTAAACTGTACCCTCCAATTAATAGTAGCAGTAAGATTCAAAGATGAAGGTAATAAATCAATTAACTACAGAGATTAACTTCATATATCCTGCGAAACTCTGCAAAGAATTAGATTTCACCACAGTAAAAATATTGCCAAAGCAACATTTCATATCGAACCTACCCCAGGGTCAAAAAAGGTTGTCAACGAAGAATCATTACGAATCTCTAAGAAAGAAATATATTTCCAGATCAAATGCTCGCTGACTAAGTATCTCCATGTATCAAGGACTAATCAGTTAGCCCAATCTAGTACGTCGAAGGATGGATTCCTAGCACAAGAGTGTTCGACGTAAAATTACCGTTAACGTCGACATTGTTTTCCTTGGAGAATATACAACACAAATATTTTCACCATGAAGCGAACCGTGGATGGAAGAAGCATCACCCAGGTAAATAGATATAGAATCCTAATAGAAGCAAACGAGAACAGAATAGAAATAAAAGAAAATTAATTAAAATTGATTCGTAGGAGGAGATCGAGGACCACGATCCGTTGCAAGTGCAACAACAGCAGCAAGACGAAGTCGACCAGCAGCAGCAGCAGCAGCAACAGCAGCAGCAGCAGCAGCAACAGCAGCAATTGGAACAGCAAACTGCCCAGCCTCAGATACGTTTCCTAAGCGCAAACGTTTTGCAGCAGCTGCAGCAACAGCAAGATGTTCAGCAACAAGCACAGCAGCAGCAGCCTCAAGTCATCACGCTGCAGCAGCTGCAGAATTTCGTGCCTTTACAAACTCAACAGTCCCAGCACGACCAACAGAGAGCGCAGACGATTTCCGTGCAGTCTCTCCCTCAACAATTCTTGCAAGTGCGTACCACGATACTATGTAAAACAATTATAAATCGATAATGTATGATAATCTCTGACAATGTATGATAATCGCTTCAGGGTGCTCAGTTAATCAGCACTCAGACCCAAGCTGCTCTCCAGCAGCAGCAGCAACAGACGCAGCAGCAGCAAGTCCAGCAGCAGTCCCAGCAACAGCAACCCCAGCAACTTAGCTATAGTGTAATTCCACAGATGCAAACTGTTAACATTGACGGCCAAGAGGCACTCTTCATTCCATCTTCTGCTATGTCTGCCGCAGGCGGACATCATCAGACCCAGCCTGCAATGCAATTTGCTACAGCTAGCGGGCAACAAGTTCAGCTTGCTAGCCAGCAAGTGCAATTGGCTAACGGTCAGACTATTATCACGCCACAGCCTGTCAGTCTGATAAGGGCGCCCAATGTCTTTCCCACTTCTATCATTCAGAACATCACTGGACAAACTGTTCAGTTACCGTCAGGTATGTACTCTTTATTTACAAGCCTGATATACAGTATATACATATAATATGTAAATGTTACAGGGCAGAGCGTGCAAGTTAGGCCACTTCAGTTCCCCATGCAGCACGTACAGCAGACTGTGCCAGTGCAGGTACCAGTCACCGCCAGCAATGGTCAAACTGTGTATCAGACGGTGCATTTTCCAGTCCAAGCGTTGTCCAGTGTTTTCAATATGCCCACTACGCAGATGATACCTCAGATCACTCAGGTACATCGAGCAAGTAAATAAATAATAGTTATTTAACGGTTTAATCACAATGCAATTTGTTTACAGCAAATTCCCCAAATGGCTCAAATAATCACCCCAAACGGACAAATACAGCAGGTCCAGATCGCGAATCTGCCGCAGCTTCAAAGTTTACAGGTGAATAGAAAACAAGAGAATCCATCGTATCGCACTAAAACGTATCCAGAAGCGTATTCGATGTCTATTAAACTATCGCGATATTCCAGAGCCAGCAGGTAACGCAAGTCGCCCAGCAAGTGGCCCAGCAACAGGCTCAACAGCAAACCCAGCCGCAAGTAGTGCAGTCCGTGCAACAGCAACACCAGCAGCAAGCTCAGGTCCAGCAACAGCAGCAGCAAGTGCAGCAGGTCGTCCAGCAAGTCATCCAGCAGCAACAACAGCAACAGCAGCAGCAGCAAGTTCAGCAGGTCCAGCAGCAATCATCCGCGCCGTCGTCAACTGTCGCAACATGGAGCACGACTGTGTCGACTCCCAGCAACGTCCAGGTAAATAAACGATCAAATAAAGACGCATCGTTCGATACAAGCTTTGAATATTCCTATCTTTTCGTAGGTACTTGGGATTGGTGCTCTTGGAAGGCCAATTACAGCTAGCGGTAACGTTATCACTACCAAGGACGGGCAGAAGATCGACGTGCAGACGTTGTCCGCTCTAGCGAGGCCACCAGAATCGGTCGAAGGCGATATCAAAGTGACCAGCATCGATGCTAGACAATTAGCTAGTGGCCAAGTCATTCATATTCCTGCGGCTCAATCAGCTCAGTCCGCTGTCCAGCCCATCACCATCACAGGTGTGTTGCATTAGTAGCTGTATATCATACTATTTCGTTTAAATCCTATTGTTTAACACTTTGACTGCGAGGTAGTATATATACGCCTTAAGAAATGGACTCGGAGAAATGTTTATGTTAGACAAATCAATTTTTTAAAAATATGAGCTTGTAGAGGATGATAAGACGAAACTTTTTTGTGTTTACAGTTTATTCATAGGACCCTTAGTTTTGAAAATAAAAATTGAAAAGCTAGAAGTTTGTTGGAAACATTAAATTTCAGGAAAGAGGTCTGGGTTAGGTCCGGGTTAGGTCTGTTCATTTTTGTTAAATCAATTTGAAAAAATATAAGCTTATAGAGGATGATTAAAGAAAACTTTTTTGTGTTTACAAGTTATTCATAGGACCCTTACTTTTGAAAATAAAAATTGAAAAGGTAGAAGTTTGTTGGAAAAATTAAATTTCAGGAAAGAGGTCTGGGTTAGGTCTGTTCATCTTCGTTAAATCAATGTAAAATAAATATAAGCTTATAGAGGATGATAAGACGAAACTTTTTTGTGTTTATAGTTTAATCGTAGGGCCCTTAGTTTTGAAAATAAAAATTGAAAAGTTAAGAGTTTGTTGCTGAACAAAAATTGAATTTCAGGAGAAAGGTCTTCCAGGTTTTCAATTTTTATCTCTGAAACTAAACGTCGTATGAATAAACTGCAAATACAAAAAAGTTTCGCCATATCATCCCCTATAAAGAAATACTTTCAAAAATTTCGACGAATAAGTAATTGTCAACTAACGACACTTTCCATTTCCACCATTCCAAATACAATTAAATTTCAGGAAAAAGGTCTTTCAAGTTTTCAATTTTTATCTCTGAAACTAAACGTCGTATGAATAAACTGTAAATACAAAAAAGTTTCGTCTTATCGTCCACTCTGAGCTGATATTTTTTACAATACCTCTAAATCTCTTCTCTACATCACAAATCGTCCCACAGTTAATGGGTTAATGGCTCAACACACTCGTATGCATCAGTACCAGTACATGATATTATCCCATTTAAATGCCACATTTTAATCAACTCGTTTGGATCACAGGAACCCAGGCGCAGCAGTTGACCCTGATTCCTGCATCAGCGTTGGCGAATCTGACCGCCCAACAAGGGAACATGATGAGAGGCGTCGGCAGCGGAAGCATAATGCAGATCCAGCCTACCGGAGGAATGAGCACGGCAAACGGCTGCGTCCTCCAGTCGATCCCTGTGCAGAATATCCCGGGTCTAGGTAACGTGCAAGTGATTCCTGCGAGCGCTCTTCAGCCTGCCAACCTCCAGACCATGCCCACCGCGACCACACCCATCGTAGCTACACCAACGGTTCAACTAGACTCGAACGACGCTACTAAATGGCAAATCCTGCAGACTCTTCAGTCCAATAATACGCTGTCGACGCCCGCTCCCGCGTCTCACCAGCACCAAGTCAGCACCGCAGGATCGACCAACGTGGACACTGATTCTAATAAACAGCATCGAAGGAGAGTTGCCTGCACGTGTCCCAACTGCGGCGATGGTGATAGGTGGGGAACTTTTCACTGGGATATACATTCACCCATTGTTATTTACTTTTTTGGATATAGTTTATAATGGAATTTTGTTGTATAGGAATCGAGACCTGACCAGGAAACGCCAACACGTCTGCCACATAGCCGGATGCAACAAGGTGTACGGGAAAACGAGTCACCTGAGGGCACATCTGAGGTGGCACACGGGCGAACGACCGTTCGTTTGTAGTTGGATATTCTGCGGGAAGAAGTTCACCAGATCCGACGAGCTTCAGAGGCATCGCAGGACCCACACCGGGGAGAAGAGATTCCAGTGTCCCGAGTGCACGAAGAAATTCATGCGGTCGGATCACTTGACGAAACATATTAAGACGCACACGAAAATTCGAAGCACGGTGAGAAAAGTTTTGGTTGAAGGTAGTTGTTTCGAGATATTCAAAAATATCATTGCAAACTTCTCTGGGTGGTCGATTTATATCGAAATAGGCTTGCATGATTCATATTTAACAGGTTGATCGCCACGTCACCCATATGTGGGTGACAGTGCTTTTCACTGAAGAACTAAAACAATTAATTCTGAAAGTTAAGCTTCAAAGGAAATGAATTTAAATGAAATTCGTGTATTTTGATGAAGTTACAAAAATAAATACCATGACGGATGTTTGATTATGTAGTTTCCAATAGTCTGAATAATATTTAATCCTAGCTGAAATTTTCAAGAATATTTCTCTGGCAGTCAACGTGTTAATCAAAGAACAGTCTAGTGGGGTTTTGTTTTTAAATCATCCGTTAAATAAATCCACGGAACAACCACCTTAAGTGTCTTAAGTAATAGGAAAAGGATTCCTAGAAAGTACTGAAATAATTTTCTTCGTGTTTCAGGAAGCAGCTACTTCAACGCAGGAAGGTTCCTCCGACAGCCAATCTTCCACGGAAGAGAAAATCATCATCGCCCTCCACAAAGATACGGAGCAGTCCGACATCGTCATCACCGAGCAGATAGACGAGATAAAGGCTCAGCCAACGAATCACGTGACGAACGAGTAAAGTGGAATCCTCCGTCTCTGAGGATTTAGGAGAAATTGTTAGTTAGTTGGTTGTTACGTTAACGACGTCGACGAAAGACGAGATTTGTCAATAGCGTTATATCGTTTAACGGGAGAGAATAACTTTTTACAGGGATTATCGTAATTCGTAATGCATATTGATCTATTTTTGTAACGATGACGATTTGTAAATATGTATATAATGTATATTAATGTAAAAAGTTTTTGCACAAAATGAATTTTACACTTATAAACGGTTTTTGATATTGCGATTCGTAGGGATGGTTCAGTCTTTCACCTTATTATAGGAGAATCTTTTGTTACGCGTAGGGACGATGTCGCGTCGAATGAATCGTTTCAGGCGTAACGTTTAAATAGACTAATATAAAGTGTATACAGGTAAAAGGTAAGACTCTTTTGCTTTTAGTTTAAAAACACTTGGTCGTTTGCAAAATCTTTTGGAACAGCCTTGTACCATCCACACGTGTATCTTAATTACATCGTTAACTAGAATGGCACCTTACGGCACTTATATTGTTTTCCATAGCTTTGAACAATAGATCGTGTTTTACAAACTAATTTACTTGATTTATCTAAAAAATCAATAGAGATTATTGTCATCTTATTGATCTTTCAATAAACCAGTAAATAGACAAATTCACGCATTATATTCCTTGTCGCTGAAAAGTCGAGATTCGATTTAAAGCATATTTCTATTTTACTTATTTCATTTAGCAATCCCGAGGTACCCGAGCTACCTACAAACATGTAAAGAAATGTAATGTAAAGCATTCCAATGTAAAAAAATTAAGGATTACAAGACTAATAATTAGTAAAAAGCAAGACTGGACCAATAAGTTCAATAATCAATTTCAAACGGGCTACGTATTTCGCGCCAGGGAAAACTCCTACTCGCGCATGCGCAGAACCCAGCGCGCAGTACTGTATAGAAAACAACGCGCAGTCAGTTTCAATTTCAGCTGCTTTAAACATTTAAAACCCTTGAAATCATTGTCTGAAACTCTTGTTCGGTTCTAAATTGTTTAAAGTGCCGACAGATTTTGAAATGACACTTTGACACTAGAGGTAGTGCGCGTCGGCGTCGCCCCTAGCAACGCTGCACGCATGCCCAGAAGCAGAGCTCTAACCTTACCTTATAACACTAACCTTACAAAAACAAATATCCCTGTAATTTTGAAACGTAGAAGTTGGTAAATAGAAGTCTTTTATTACACGTTATGTTGTAATCATACAAAAAGTTCGTTCGTTCGTTTCATGAAGCTTGTAAAATGAGCGGTTTATCGGAGGACGACAGTTCCGACAGTAACGATGATTTTCGAGTAAACTCGGAAAAGATAACCGCAAGTTGCAGCTTTTTCGAAAAGAAACCGAAGTCTTTCTTTGCTTCGAGTGATACCAAAGATGAAAGCAGCGACGAGGAGGATCTCGAAGATGTCAACGGAGCAAGCAACATTGAACTGTTTGCTCAAGTTCTGAAAAATCTGGAAATCTCGCAACAGTTTCAACTCAATAATGACAATGTCAAGAAAGAACAATCGTTTCTGGACCCTTCCGTGCCACAGAGAAAAGAGGAAAAAGGGCATGGATTGAAAATAGAAGGGAAAGATGCTGCGTCGTCCAACGAGATTAACGAACTTCTACTTTTAGGAGAAAACGTCACCGGTTCGCCTGATAAAAATGATTCTAGGAATACAAGTATAAAAGAAGACACCGTAGATGCTACAGAGTACACTATTCCTAAGGATGGCATCGAGATTATTCTACCTGGTACAAGTTCCATGTTAAATAACAAGAAGAAAAACGGAGGGCAGAGTTTGAAAACGCTTCTTCTGAGACGACTGAAGGCTAATGAAATCTATATAGAAAAGGTAGGATTACTCTGTTGGCTAGCGTATGGATTTCATTTGAATAAACAGGTAAATGATCCCGAAGTAATGTCAACTGCGTTATCGTTACTTTCGACCAACTATTATCCAAAGAACCGAGTAGATCTCGGTTACTTAGAAAAGTTCACGAAGTGGTTCAAGCATATATTTACATTCGACTGCGTTGAAAATAATGCCAATAATCGTGTAGACACAAAGAGTTTGTTGAAAGTATTACGAGAAAAAAAGATCTGCGATTATAGAGTGTTGGTATTATTGTATGTTGCCACAGCAAGGGCTCTAGGATTAAATTGTCGATTAGTCGTATCTCTCTGTCCACCTCATAGAGTGTTAAGAGACAATCCGCTGTTTAAACTCGACAAACCTAATCAACAAGATAAGTCTACAAGCGATTCTAATACGTCTAAAGGTAAAACCTCTTCGAGGGTGACCAAAAAGAAAACTTGTGATGTAGTTAAAAACAGTCTCGAGGCAGAAAAGATCGCTAAAATGGAAGCCAAGAAAAGGGCAGCGGAAGTTTTACAATCAAAATCGCAAAGCGCGAAGAGAAGTAAATCTAATAGTAACAAGAAGACTAAAACTGAGCCAACTAGAAGTACAGGAAAAGAAAGTGAGTCTAAGCTCGTAGAGGAAGGAATAGAAGTATCTGGTGTACGTCAGTTGAGATCTCGTAGAGTTAACGTCGTAGAAGATAGTAAAGCAAAGAAAACTAAAACCTCAAATTCAAAAAATGATGCCATCGATGGCACTCGCTCAAAGTATTACATCGATGAAGATTCTGCGGATTCTGAGGCAGAGTTTCAACCCAAGCCACAACGTGTGACAAGAAGGAAGTTAAAGGATAACAACGAAGAAACAACGCAGAGCTCTAAGAACCCTAAAGCGAAGAACAAAAAATTGTTGTCTTCTGACAGTGAAATTGAGGATGGAGATAAAAAGAAAAGGGGGCAGGATCTCTGGGCAGAAGTGTACCTAGAATCAGAGGAGAGCTGGATTAGTGTGAATGTGATGGATGAAAAAATTCATTGTGTTGCTGATTTGTATGTAAGTGAAGCGAACAATTGCATTACATTTAAATAATAAGTCTTTTTATATGATATTAATAGCTGTACTCTTTCGCAGAGAAAAGCATCAAAACCAGTATTATATGTGGTAGCCTGGAACTCTGAGAATTTAATAAAGGATGTAACGAAGCGCTACTGTCCCCACTGGCTCACAGTCACACGCAAGCAGCGCATCGAAGAGAAGTGGTGGGTCCAAACATTGTCTTACTGGAGGGAAAAGGACACTGCTATTTCAAGAGCGGAAGATGAGATGTTCCTACAAAAGTATATTTTCAGACTTCTAATCGCTGCAAACTCAGCTTTCTTATTTAAGAACTTTGCTTACTTTCTTTCATATCGCAGAGAATTGGAACAACCACTGCCTAAGACAATCGGAGAATGCAAAGGACACCCACTGTATGTTCTTACGAGGCATTTACTTAAGTTTGAAGCATTGTACCCTCCGGATTGTGTCCCATTGGGATATACTTCTACTGGTGAACCTATCTACTCTCGCCACTGTGTGCACACGCTCTGCTCGAGGGAAACGTGGCTGAAGAAAGCTAGAGTTGTGAAGCCGAAGGAGGAACCTTACAAAATAGTAAAGGCCCGTCCAAAGTACGACAAGGTAATAATGTTTTCTGCTGGCATTGAAAATACAATTCTACATACAGTTATACAATTACATATACAATTCTACAATTAAATATCTACTATTATTTGATTTGAAACAGCTGACCAAAATGAAGATCAATGATCTATCGCTGGAGGTGTTCGGTGAGTGGCAGACCACAGAGTACGTACCACCTGAAGCTAAGAATGGTATAGTTCCACGAAACGAGTATGGAAACGTGGATTTGTTCAAACAATGCATGCTTCCAAAGGGCACAGTCCACATAAATCGTGAGTAATTTAAACATTTGACATTAAAACATTCAAACAAAAATTTTAAACTAGTAATTTGGTGAAGCAGTTATAATACAAAGTATAATACTTGTTACACAGTTCCAGCATTGAACCGTATCGCTAGAAAGCTGAATATCGATTGTGCCCCAGCCGTTGTGGGTTTTAATTTTGGATGCATGGGCGCTGTGCCTGCCATCGAAGGGTACGTAGTCTGCTCAGAGTACGAGGACACATTGCGGGAGGCTTGGGAGGCAGAGCAAGTGGAGGCGGCTAAACGAGCCAAAGAGAAAAGGGAGAAAAGAGTGTACGGGAATTGGAAGAAATTGATTCAGGGTTTGTTCATAAGGGAACGATTGGCTGCGAGGTACAACTTTTCGCAGGAGACAACGTCTTCCACCGGGGGCAAACGGAAAGAACGGTTAACGAGGGACGCGAAGAAGGCTAGAGTTTCGTAAATCTCATGGGGAATCTCTTTTCGATAAGTCAAAGAAAACTTTTCTGTTCCACTTAAAAATATTTCATGTAGTTGTAAATGATTGCGTGGCAACTTGTATATTTTGTTAGACATAACATATATATATGTTAAATAATATGTTGAAATAGTTTGTTAATTTCTTAAGAAGAGAAAAATGCACGTGCGATTGTAAACATTAAGAATTTTTTCTCAATAACGCGTTCAATCATACTTTTTTATACTTCAAATTTATTTTTCTATATTTTTATAAATCCCTTGGTAAGGATTTAGGATTGTAATTAATTAATTTATTTTTTTTTTTTAAATGTTTTTCTGCATTTATCAAGTATTATTAGACTTTCGGTAATAATGAGTATTTAGAATCTACGAAATTGATATAGTGTACATAAACCGCGAATTTTGTAAAATTATCGTAATAAAGTAATATGTTTGTACATTATACATGCTTCGTATGATTTGTAAATTGTTTAACCCTCGGGCCTGTAGCTATGTTTAATTTGTAATCTTAGCTGCAGTCTTGGAAGTGCCAGTGGAAAATATGTAAAAATCTATTTTTTTTTTTCAAAATTCGTATGTATGTTTATTTGTATGTTTATAATGAAGTAGGGGGTAGCTGACGCGATTCTGAACAACAATTTCCTTTGCAAAAATGTCGAATAGTGCTTCGTTTTTCAATTATTAACGAGAAACCAACGACCAATCACAGCGCACGAGTAGCGCGCGCTGTGATTGGTCGGTGTTTTTCAGCACTGCGCGCTCAGCTATTCTCGACGCGCATGCGCGACTAGGAGCCACATGCCACATCTGGTAACACTGATCTGCACTGATCTTGATTAATATATCAAAATATACGTTCGAGTAAGGGAATATTAGAGAATATTACTGTTAAAAAGATATTTTATACGCAAATTCATTCTTATTCTATAATACAAGAATATAATTTATAACCTAGCTTTCTGTTTACAATGTCAAATTTAATAATGTCACGTTGTTTTGCAAAATATGTTACGTTAACGTCATGATGAAAATTTGGTAAACTACACTTTCTTTAATTGACTATACCGCTGTATTAAAGTATGCATAATAAATGTAATTCGTAAGCATGAAAATTGTCAATAGCTAATTGTATTTATACAGTTTTTGTTTGATTTAATTTGTGTTACTGATAATCGAAACTTTAAGGTTATGTTTCAATGTTATTGTTCAAATTTAAATGTATGATTTACTTTTGCAGATTCGTTGCAATTAGATCAAATTTGTCATGAGTATATTCAATGACATCAAGAAAGTTACAGAGATACCTTACTCGGACGAGCATTCGTTGTTCATACGCCAAAAAGAGGGCAAACGAAGCAGAAAGATAGGCAAACCCAAGCCAGCGAGAAATGCAAATGTTAGTAACCACATCCGTCCTTTACTTTTACGATCTAAAAGTTATATCAAAGTTCAATGTAACTCAAGTCTCGGCATAATTATTTCACTAAAATAGTTATAATTGCTATCGATTCAACTATTTCTTACGTAAATTATAAATATTGCTCCACCATTCAATCACTTCCGCTCTTGAATTTTTCATTAGCATGATTCTAAGAGATGGATGTTACCATAATTTAAACCCTCAGGGGCTGTGCTTACATCCGATCATACCCACTGTATGGGTCTGGCGATCCTAAGGCACCCGAGCTATATAACAGATCTCTGGTATCTGTAACGGTATCCCAGAGAGCGCAACGTAAAGATTAAACAATCGCAAGACTAGTATATTAGTTCTAATCAACTTCTAGTCAACACGACTTCGACCCCTTTCTAAATAAAACTCCCCCTAAATAATTAAAAAATTCTACTTAACAGTTATACGATGACAGCGACGATGATAAGGATAGAAGAAACCACTACAACGAACCCTCTCAATTGCACGAAAGCGAGATTGCGTGTTCCATTAAAGAGGTAAACATCGAAACTCGATACTCACCCTAAAACACGCATGAAAATTAATTTTAATTTACAGTACAGTGGTATTAGTTATTCGAACGAGTTGATCGAACGGAACATAAAAGCAAGACAAAAGACAGTTAGTTTAAATTCTAATAAACCTTTAGGCAAGTTCGCTTTAAGAGAAACAAATTACAGTCATAGCGATTCAAGTACAGAAACTGTGACACCTGAGATCAATGAACCTGAAACCAAAGAAACTATTTTGCAAAAGTGTAAGCTTAATAGAAACGCAGCGATTATGGGACTCCTAAAAACAAATAAAATATCGATAGACGATTTACAGATACCAAACAATTTTAAATGTACAAAAGATAACAGTGAATCGAACTTACAGGTGCGTATAAATTGCTATACCAAGTTTTAACAATAATAAATTAATTGAACGAGTTAAAGAAATTTTTGTATCGCACACGATAGAGTGAAAATGCTTCGTCATCAAGGGATTCGACCGAAGGAAAGTACGAAATGGAGCTAGTTCAGTTACCAGAAGATCCAGATGTTTACCTTCATCCTTTGCAAGCGTACGGAAGCATAGATGAGAATAAATATAAAGATATTGATTTCACTGTATCACATTTGGGGAAGAAAAAGACTGTAACACCTCTAGAGTACTATCTTACCATGGACGACTCTGGGTTTGATTTCGTTAAAAAAAAGAAAACGTAGTAAGAAAAATGTGGTCGATTCAATGCGTTTTCTTAAATAAAAGTTTTAAAGAACTGATTGGTCTCTGATGATCATGACAATTAACATGTTGATTATGAAAATACTTGAATTTGTAAGATGAAAGACATATTGCAAAATTTTATTAAGATCTTTTAGTTAAAAATGAACGAAGTATGTGATAAATTATGGCAATCTATAGGTGAAAGAATAAAGAATTTATTAAAACAGGTGTGCTGTTAAAAGAAAATTGAGAAACGGATGACAAATGATTTATTTATCAATAAATTACAAAAAAAATGCGTCGTACACAATAGTCTACCATGTAATCATATATTTTTACTTCGTTGAAATTAAGAAAAGAAATAATTGAACAAATTTTCTGTGATCTTGATCTCAACTGTTTAACGAGATTTCTGAGTTTTATTCAGTTTTATTATTTACTAACATTTGTATTTAAGTTATACCGTAGACTGATGTAATTGAAAGAGAACTCGTTTCTAATTTTCAAACTAATATTAAGAAATTTTACCAGATGTTTAATCAAAATTGTTAAGAAAGATACATTTTTATACCTAAAATGCAATAAATCATACTTTCTTAATCGATAAAAGTTTTAATATCGTTGAAACACGTGTAATTAACAATATGAAAATATCATATAATGACTGCGTACAATGTACAAAACTTATACAAATATCATTCTTTAATTCGGGGTACATATATATCTAATCTGTGATCCAAGAATAATTATTAAAAATAAGTATTTCAGTACTGTATTTTTCCATAACTACTCAGGCAGCTAATTGAGCAAAAGTAACAGTCAAATGGTACAGTAACGTTCTCTGATGACTTTACGCTGTTGGCTATTATGCTTAAATGAAACTCCATGAACTTTCTTATGTAGCAATCGAAGCAAGGATTGCCACACATACAATACTTTGCGTTGTCTAAAAACTTAACTAAGGTAACTGGTATCAAACTCGCGTCATATGGATGCCTACAAAAACACAGAAATATATTTAAAGAACTCTCATTAAAGCACTTGAATTATACTAAACAAATGTAGTTATAAATGTTATTTGCAAACCTTGTTTTGAGGAAGGATCTGGCTGCGCTCTCAGTCAAGCTAGGTACGTCAAGGTTGCTCATGAGATGCGACTCTGTCCTTCGAAACTCATTCTCAGAGACATCTAATAAAGCAAGCCTTAAATTTCTTGTACTTCCAGGCATGTATTCTAAATTATTCTTAGATAGGTCTAAATATTTCAACTTGGATAACTTTCCAAGGCTCTGTGGTAGATAGGACAGCATATTTTTGCTGGCTTTTAGATTAATTAAAGCATGGAGTTTCCCAATCTGTTCTGGTAGCGTTGTTAACTGCGTAAAGAGTACAAAATGTATTATTATACGAATGTTACCATGATTAGTGGAGTTTTGTTTACGATACAAGCAACCTACCAAATTATTGCTTATGTCCAGTAGCTTCAGATTCGATTTAATAGGACCCTGGTCCAACCACACCCAGTTTGTACCTTTATTAAGTAGATTCTGCGATAGATTCAGTTCCTGTAAATGCTGCAAATACCCCAATTCTTTTGGTATAGACGATATTCGATTGCTCGACAAGTTTAATATCCTCAAGCTCTGAAGCTTTAGAATTTGCTTGTCCAACGATAGTCTATTCGATCCTACTAGATACAATTCCTCGGTCGTTCTTGGAAAACCTTCCAAGGTTGGGTAGTCCGAAGATTTGTTGACCACGACTTTGATCTTCGGAATGGCACTCAAGCTCTTCGGATTTAGATTCGATATGGTCAGAACTGACAGATTTACTTTCTTAGACAATGCGAGCTTCAGTGTGTGAATGAAACTTTTCAATTGAATTATGTCGGATTGAATAACTAAGTCGTGCGGTGGTTCTAGGAAGCGAATAGTAGCTTTTCCTTCGTTGATGAACTTTGTGAATATTTGAGATACGTTGCAGTTGATCTGAAAGAAATTAGGTGAACATTAATTTTTTCTATTAGAATTTTGTAAAGAGTGTTCCCACCTTGTATCTGACACCTTGTTTATTCTGCAACGTCTGCCAAAGTATAAACAAGTCATCGCTCTTCACTGTCTGTCTCCCAATAGCTAGAACCGACCGTTGTGATTTCTTTCGCACCACATTCGGAGTGGACCTGTTATTCACTTCCACGTTGCAGTACAGTTTCATTGTAAACAATATCTTTTAAGTGAACAGCAGATGGTGAAATAGCATTATAGCATTAATATATACCTGTAGCATTATACCATTAATATATACCTTATATATATACCTGTGTTAATCGGTTAATCTTGTGAGATGAATTTTTGCAATGTCAGGTAATGACAGTACCGAACAACACAAGACTAACTTTTTCATGGATGGAATCACATACTGTTAATTACAAATGTGATGTAGACACATCTTAACACGTAGGTTCTCCTTTGACAAATTGGAAAAAAACGTAAACAAATTCCTGTTTCGCGCGCAGGCTGAATCCCTAAATGAACAAATGCGTGTGCGACAGGTGACAGTGATTCTTGCCGTTCTAGGAGAAAATCACTATGCACCGACAGCTAGAAATGTAACTAGAAATACAATCTACGTATAAGATTAAAATAAGCTTAAAAGGGAAGGAATATATAGGAATATATTCTCCTAACAAGGCATCTGATCTTTTGCTTACTATATTACGAATTTAGCTTATTATATTACAAATTTATTTAACGATAACTTAAAAGTTTACGTTATGATGTTCGAAAAGCGCGCGGGTCGTGTGCGTCAGTGCGCATGCGCTGCTAGACAAAGATAGAAAGCACTCTCGCCTCACACTATGTATCTTTGTCTAGTAACGCATGCGCAAATGTCAGACGCAGCGGACCAATAAGATCTATTCGCGAGCTGCTAGAACGAATCTTATTGGACGGAGTATAGTGCCAACGTAAAGACTTAGAATTCGGGTTACGTTTAAAGAAATTTGAAGTTGGTAACCATGCATGGAAAAAACGCGGGAAAACGTAGAAAAACAAAATGGCAGAATACTGTTTGAAAAACTACTTTAGACGAACGTGTTCGTGTTTATGTTATTTAAAAGTCATATGTTAGTGATACTATATAATTTTATAATTTTTTATTACGTTATTGTTTAGGAGTTCGACTGAGTGTTTATGTATTTATTTATGTAAGTTTTTCAATTTTTTAAATTGATAATACACATTTATGTACATAGATGATGTTTTTATTATGAGTGTTTATGTATTTATTTATGTTTTTTAATTTTTCAAGATAATAATCACCACTTACATAAATGATGTATTCACATTAATTATTAAGGCTTGTTTATTAATTGAATATACATATTATGCATTACAGTTTCATTGTATATTTAATTTATAATATTATTGGGTCGACAAGAAAGCTTCCAACAGCTCGATTCTCCCAAACTAAAATATCAAAATGAAATCGGGTAGTTCGAAACTCAGCAAGCACGGCCAATCTATAGTCGACATGTTCTCCAAGCAAGCCGCCAAAAGAAAACAAGCAGACTTCGATGACGGTACACAACATCAACAAACAAAATTGCAAAAGTTGCAAGACAATACCACAGAAGATGGTCTCTCGACATTAAACAAACATAATAAAGAGAATCACGGTCCGCAATCAAAGCAAGCCAACAACCATACCGAAAATAAACTCATACAGAAAGTTCAGATTATAAAAACGAATAATTTTCCTAGAAAATGTGAATATTGTTGCCAGAAATTGAACAATGAGATGAAACTGTATCCTGGACACCCAAACAATGCGGTAGACGAAGATATTGCCTTAACCGATCCAAGATTGTGCTTGTTCAATGGAGACGAATCGTTTGTACACGATAGCGACTATCTTCCTCAGAATAAATTAACTCACTTCAGGTGAGATCTCGCAATTGAATCCTTATTTTTAAGCCAGAAGTATTTATTGTTAAATTATTTATACATAAAATGTACATTTATTATATTTATTTAATACATTTATGATATATATTCGTTATACACATTTTAGTGTGTACGATAAAAATGGTCATCTGTGTCCCTTCGACACTGGCCTCATCGAAAAGAATGTCCTGTTATATTTCTCTGGATACCTGAAACCCATCTACGATGAAGATCCATCTCCGGAAGGTGGAGTGCCAGCGAAAGACATGGGTCCTTTAAACGAATGGTACGTGTCAGGCTTCGACGGAGGAGAACTAGCTCTCATAGGCTTCAGCACAGCGTTTGCTGAATATATTCTAATGGAGCCATCGGATGTGTACTCTCCTTTCATCGATGTGGTGAAAGAGAAGATATACATGAGCAAATTGGTCATAGAATTTCTCCTGAGTGAGATTAGTCCCACTTACGAGGACTTGCTCAATAAACTCCAAGTAATGAATTTCAAAGATGTTCTTCATATTTAGAAATATATTTTATTTTACATCGAATTCGTTCCAATTATCCTTTTACAGATGGTAGTGCCACCCAAAGGGATGAAAAAGTTCACAGAGGATTCTCTGCTACGCCATGCACAGTTTGTGTGCGATCAAGTATTGTCGTTTGACAATGCTGCGGAGACTGACGAAGTCCCTCTTATTACGAATCCTTGCATGCGATCATTGGCAAGTCTTGCTGGGGTTACGCTGGGGAAAAGAGCTGCACTACGTAGGACACATAGGGAACAGAAAGTTAAAAAACCTAGCTGGACGAAGGCAACTACTACACTGTTGGTTAACGATATGTTTGAGAATATATTTGCGGATCAACTGGTTAAACACGATGAGAAAATAACAATGGTAAATATTTATATCAAAGGATATTACTTATTTTTGGTGTTATATACTTATCGTTTGGACTTTGTTATACTACAGGGTCCTAGGAGGCAGAGGTGTGGAGTGTGCGAAAATTGTCAGCACCCAGACTGTGGTTCTTGCAACGCTTGCAAGGATATGATCAAATTTGGAGGATCTGGAAGAAGCAAGCAGGCTTGCATCAAGAGGAAGTGTCCAAACATGACCATTCAAGTATAAATGAATCCCTTATAAACATAATACAACATAAAATTATATACTACGTTCACAATTCATGATACGTGTTTTTAGGAAGCAGATGATTCGGATCCTGAGAACGAAGACCAGTACGAAACGATCGCGATGAAGCAGTCTGAGAGCGAAGACATCAGGATGAAAGTTTTCAAGGAACTCAGAAAAGACATCGCATGGATAGGAGACCCAATCGCTGTCGATAACCAGAGAATCTTTTATAAATCTGTTATGCTGGAGAGCGAAGAGGTACATGTGAATGATTATGTCCTCATCGAGCCAAGAAACTCAGCGAAACCATCCCACATCGCCAAGGTTATTTACATGTGGGAAACCAAGAGTGGAATGAAGCAGTTTCATGCGAGTTGGTTCCACAGAGGCAACGATACCATTCTTGGAGAAACATCGGACCCTGTAGAATTGTTTCTCAGTGATGATTGCGATGATGTGCCCATTAAATCTATTCGATCGAAGTGCACTGTTGTTTTTAAAAAGGTGCCTGACGATTGGGCTGTGTTAGGTTAGTTGGGTTAGGTAATCATCCTACGATACAGATTAATATGAACATATAATAGACTAGTATTACACATTATTTGTACTTTATAGGTAACACGAATTTAAGCTTCAAAGACGACATGAAAGTCAACGCAGATGGCAAAACATTCTTTTACCAGCTGCGTTACACTCCTGAGACAGCCAGGTTTGAAGATCCTCTGCCAGACTTAGAGTGTATCCAAAAAGAAAATAGTTATAGATTCTGCCCTGTGTGCGATCATCTAAGGACATTAGAACAGTTTAATACACCAAAGGTACGTGCAGTTAATACATTACTTATTCCTATATTTAACAAATTATCTTATGCTTGAAGGTCTGCGAACGAGTGGAAGCGAAGAGTAGTAGAGAAGTAATCTATCAAGCAGTGAAATACAGGGGCGAAGAGTACAGAGTTGGCACAGCTGTGTTTCTCCAACCAACAGTTTTTCAATTTCAATATAAGATAACATACCAAGCTTCGCAAACTTTGAAAAAGAAAATTGTAGACGAAGATATGTACCCCGAATACTACAGAAAATTTTCTGACCACGTAAAAGGTTCCAATTTCGATACTCCGGACCCTTTTTGTATAGGGTATATAAAGGAGATATATGCTAGCACCGATGACTTGCTCGTCTCGCCTTGTGATATTAATATTAGAATAAATAAATTGTATAGGCCTGAAAATACTCATAGGAACTATACGCTGATGGAGCAAGCCGATCTGAACATGGTCTATTGGAGCGAAGAAGGTAGTTCTTCAGAAATGCCAATACTTTAAGCCTATTTAAATGTAAATTAAAATCGCTTTGGAATTATTTAAACGTAGCTTAGAATTGTTTTGAAACTATTTAAGCACCGAACCAATTTAAACATATCTCACAATTGCTTTGAAACTATTTCACTTTGAAAAATATAATTTCCACAGTCTGCGATGTAAAATTCACTGAAGTAGTTGATAAATGCTACCTTACGTACTCTGAAAATTTACACCAGTCTGTCGATGAGTGGACTGCTGCTGGACCAAACAGATTCTACTTTAACGAAGCCTACAACGTGAAAGAGAAAACGTTCGAAGAGCCACCTAATCATGCTATTACCATAGGAGAATATGGTAAAGGTAAAGGCGGTTCGAAGGTGAAAGGCAAGAGGACAGAGGAAAAACAGAAGAACGCAGCTGTTAACAAACCTATCGAGTACAAAGCGATTGCTAGAAAATTGAAGACAATGGATGTCTTCGCAGGCTGTGGTGGTGCGTGTCTTGTTAGTAGACGTACAAGTTGTTTGAAGAATTTAATAATTATCACATTTATGATATTTATGTTTTAGGGTTGTCAGAAGGTTTTCACCAGGCTGGTATTTCTGAAAACTGTTGGGCCATCGAGAAGGAGGAACCTGCTGCTTTTGCATACCGGTTGAACAATTCCAAAGCAACAGTGTTTACGGAAGATTGTAATGTGTTACTAAAGAAAGTTATGGATGTCAGTATAATTTATGTAGCATATATTTGTTTAGTAATACCATATAATAATATTATCGCATATTTTAGGGTGAACTGATGGATGGAATTGGCCAGAAGCTTCCGCAGAAAGGAGAAGTGGAGTTAATGTGTGGCGGTCCACCATGCCAAGGATTCAGTGGCATGAATCGCTTCAATTCGAGACAGTATTCTTTATTCAAAAGCTCTCTTATCGTCTCCTATTTATCCTACTGCGATTACTATAGGCCTAAGTTCTTCGTTATGGAGAACGTGAGAAATTTTGTGTCTTTTAAAAGGAGTATGGTGTTGAAATTAACATTGCGATGCTTGGTTCGCATGGGTTATCAGTGTACATTTGGTATTCTCCAAGCTGGGAACTATGGAGTTCCTCAAACGAGGAGAAGGTCTGTCTCGATTTAATTATAGTTCTCGATTTAATTATAGATCTAATTTTACAGTTATAGACATTTGTTTAATATAGAATGGTGATCATGGCTGCTGCGCCAGGAGAGACGCTGCCTAATTACCCAGAGCCCACGCATGTGTTTAGTAAACGTGTCTGTCAATTAAGCGTACTAGTTGATAACAAGAAGGTAATAATAATATGGTTAGAGGTTAATTGAAGGTTAATTGAAAATATATATATTCAATTATTAAATATTTCAGTATAGTTCCAATTGTACTTGGACGGAGTCGGCGCCATTTAGGACAATTAATGTAAAAGACGCAATGTCCGACTTGCCAGAGATAAAGAACGGATGGAACAAGGAGGAAATGCCTTACAACAGCGAGCCAATGTCGCACTTCCAGAGAAAAGTAATATTTAGTAATAGTAGTAGTAGAGTCGTATAAGTATTTGTATCCCTCTAGTTGCCAACTTCGAAGAATTAATATTTATGCACGACAGAAATTTCAAAATTGTTATCGATGGGAATATACATTAACATAAATGAGATTCTTTTGTAGATAAGAGGAAAGCATTATCAGGTTCTGTTGAGAGACCATATATGCAAAGAAATGGCTCCTCTCGTAGAAGCTAGAATGGCCCACGTACCAATTGCTCGTGGCTCGGATTGGCGTGATCTGCCAAACATTGACCTAAGATTAAGCGATGGAACTCATTCAAAAAAATTGTAAGCGAAGAAGCATGTGTCCTAAACTTGTTTAGAAGATGAAACTTGTCGTTACGCTTAATTTTCTTTAAGGGAATATATTTACAACGATAAGAAGGCTGGCATGAGTACCACAGGAGCTTATCGAGGAGTATGCATTTGTTGCACAGGAAAACCATGCGATCCAACCGATAGACAATTTAATACCTTGATTCCATGGTGTCTGCCTCATACAGGGAATCGTCACAATCATTGGGCAGGTTTATATGGCAGATTAGAGTGGGATGGGTTCTTCGGCACCACTATTACAAACCCTGAACCCATGGGAAAACAGGTATATGTGTAGTTTATTGTCCGATGTGTCTATATTCAATTTGTTTACTCATTCTAAAGACGTAAATATATTTACATATCTGTACATATATCTTTTTTAAATACTATATTTCATTTCTTTATCAATTCTTCATGACGTGTAATGTAATCGTGACAAGTAATTCAATCTGCACATATACGTATAATGTCTGACTCGAATAAAAATTGTAACCGATGTATTATAACAAATTTTTTTCCCCATTGCTTTTTAGGGTCGTGTACTACATCCCACCCAGACAAGAGTAGTAAGCGTTCGCGAATGCGCAAGATCTCAGGGATTCCCAGACTCCTTTCGCTTTTATGGGACCATTCTTGATAAACACAGACAGGTTGGAAACGCAGTTCCCCCTCCACTCGGTGCAGCCATTGGCTATCAGATAAGGAAGTGCATACGAGTCGAAAAGCACGAATCCGAGAGCCACGTAGATACTCAATTAAAAATTGAATGTATGGAGTCCTCCAGTGTAAGTTGTACAAACTTTTAAGAACTAGTTAAAAATTGTACGTTGGAGATGCAAGTATTAGTTTACGTATCGAAAAGAAATCGAAATGTTCGCACATCATTAACTTTACGTAGCTTTGTATATTAATATCTTTCGGAAGAACTGAATCAACTTTGTTATTGCTTCTGTGAATTGAATCATGTTTTATTGCTTTTGCGAATGGTACTCTTTTAAACAGACTTTTAGTTTACGATAAAAAATATTCCTTTTACACATATACACACACCTCACTGATTTACCCTCTTCCTTCGAACAGATTTTTTAATTTACTGAATCAACTGTGTTATTGCTTTTGTGAATTGAATCATGTTTTATTGCTTTTGCGAATGGTAGTCTTTTAAGCAGACTTTTAGTTTACAATAAAAAATATTCCTTTTACACATATACACACACCTCACCGATTTACCCTCTTCCTTTGAACAGTTTTTTTTAATCTACGATACAAAATATTCCTTTTAAACATGCACACAAAGTTCCTCGCTGATTTACACAGCAATGAAAAGAGTCGAAGGGACCATTACGTGTTAATAACTTAAGAATAATTTAAGAAATTTATACATTAATACCTAATGAGCAACTAGCGTTACAGTTTATATTATAATATCATTAAAAATTCTGTTGTGTGTGGACAGTATTAGCGCCAAATGATGGCAGTAATGTTCTCTATTCGTTACTCATCAACTCTCTGCGTTCGAGAGATGACTATTAATTCTCTCCAGCGAAGAGAGTTGAATATTTACAATATGTTGAAGAATGTTAATGTATTTTAAAAGTTAGAGTCTTGTACAAATTACCAGTAAAGCTTAAAATTCTCTTTATACGTATTTGTGATTGGAATGACGATGTAAATAAATAGAATCATTTGGTTTCGCAGTGACATTAATGTTGCGTTAGGTTTCTTTGCTGCCATGTAAAACCTCGTGAAATAAATATTGGAAGATGTTTTCAATGTTTTCAATCTTTCAGTTTTCACATCCTTTGGCTGACAAACTATTCCTTGCAATACTTATTTCAAAACTAGCATCGGGGGTCATTCCTTCCAGTTCGACGACGTGTTTTTCAACTCTCGCCCCTCGTGAAGGTCAACAGTGGTCTCTTGTAATAGTTTCTTTACGTTGTGATGCGTCTTCATGTTGAAATTAATTTGCCTATTCTCTACCGGTTCATTGTAGGCAATTTTGTTTAAACGAAATGTATTGCACTGCACTGTAACTGTTAGCACACTGAAGATTGTGCCCAAGACAACGCCTGCGAGCACATCCCACCAGTGGTGTCTGTTATCACCGATCCTGGTCAGCGAACAGACCACTGTCCACAAGGATATTAGACATTGCAGCCACGGTTTTAGGAGAAACGTCCTGTTTGGTAGACGAGTCTGTAAGTACCACTGTAAAAGAAGAAGAAGGAGGGCTTATTTAATGTACTAGATGAGATACGATGGAGGTGTATAGAAGTTGGAAGGTATCGTACCACCATGAATATTGTTGCGAACATGGAAAGAGCAGAGTGACCCGATGGGAAGGATTTGCTGGAGTCTGAGATGAACCAGGTTGAATCGTTTGTGTTCGTGCAAGTGTAGGACCTCACATATCTGAAAGAAAATAGAGAAATTACATTATTAATTACCTTAATAATTCTTTATTAACTAATTATTACTTTCTTTAGAGTCAAATTGGGTAGATTGCTTGTTCTCAAGTCACAAGTTCACTGATAGAAGTCTTTATTAATACAGAATTCTATATTATTTGCAGAGTTATGTATCGGAAGAGTGTTCCAGAGTAATAAATAGCAATAAATACATAAACATACCCATCAGTGCAATTGTGAGCCTCAAGAGGTTTACACGTATCCAAAAAATGAGGCCTTGGCTCTCCAATGAGAGTCTTCATGACGTCACACAAGAATATCAAGCAAACTGTTCCGATTAAATAGTGTCCGTACCAAAACCAGACTTGTTTCACTCTTGAACCAGAACATCCTGAGGTTGTGGTGTAACTGTCTTCAGGATGGCACAGGTACTCCACTAGGAACATCTACGAAAGCTTAGAATTAGTATAAAATTGATTTGTGCCTTATGTACCACAACAAGTGAAGCATAAAATTAGTTTCGAGGGAGATAATGTTCGATAATGTTTGTATAAAATTGATTCGTGGTTTACGTACCACAACGAGTGGCAGCAGGAGAGAAACAGTGAGCAACAGGGAAATGGAGATCGTGTCTCCGAGAAACTTGAAGGAAATCTTTGGGTCATTGCAATAGAAGCCTATGCGTTGCTGAGGAACAGTTCCAAATTCCAGTAGGGCTAATATCACGATGACTGAAACAGAAAATAATATGTGTGCGTATTACTGGTATACAAAAAGGAAGTGAACTACTTTTTAGTCTAATCCAGGATATGTTAGATTATGATTAAATAAGATTAAATAAGTTAGGTTAGGTTATGATGCAATAAGAAGAAAATCAGGACTGCGAGGAATTATTATTATTAGGATACCGAGGATAGTATCTTTCAAAATGAATCGCATGCAACAATTGTTGAAGGAGTGAAGATATACATTCTGTAGGATGATACGAGGCCACACACGGAATTATTCTAGGTAAATTGGTGATGTCTTGCGTTTCTTAAATAGCTTTATTTATTTATTTGTATTAGTTAATGTCTTGCATATCTTTCTTAGTGTTTCTATATCTTCAGAATTGTAATTATTATACATAAACTAAACATACAGTAGCTTAAACAACTTCTATTGCAGATCTTCTTGTTGCTTTTTCTTCATGATTGTATTTATTATACACATACATGTATCTTTGAATGGAAGTATACTGATAATGATATAGAGATCTTTGAAAACAGCCTGGTGGAAGAGTGAGATCAGATAAGAAAACAAGAAGGGATAAGATAGCAAGTTTAGAGGAAATTAACATAAGCTCAAATTCCAACAAAGAAGTATATATATAAGTACACGAAGAAAGCAATGTCATCTCTCTCAACGCTACCACTGATCAACACATTAATTCTTTGTAATATAGGGTAACAATAATTCTTCTTTATAGATCATTCTATAGATCTTCAATATATAGAATAACTATAAGTAAAGTTCATGTTCTAAGAAAGAAATATACATATAAATATATGAAAAATGTAATTAATATACTAATTCTTTATAAATTTAGTTTGATGTACCTCGCCGTTAGAAAGTAAGAGACCTGTACAACATGCTCGCACACGATACTTTCTTTTAGTTGGGATACTTACACGCGCTGTACACGTTACGTCGATTCATTATTTTGAAAGTGTTCCCTCTGCTACCACTCTCCATCGCGTGCAAAGAAGCAAAAGAACAGCGGTTGTAACTCTTAAGTACGTCCAACTAAGGTGAGATGAATCAGAAAGACCTCTCGGAAGCGAATGAGAGAGAATCAGGAAGGAATGAGTAATCTACGTTTAAATACCTATCCAATGCAAAGTCACGCACGCTATTACACATTTCTCGGACCGCTGTAATCTAGTGTTGAAAGATAAGCGTCTGCGCACTAGAGAGCGAGACGAACGGAGGTAGCGGATCGTCTCTTCTAATGTAAGTGGCTGTCTTCTTTTCACCCGTCACTGTTTATTGTTCAGATGTTCAAATGGTAGTCGCGATCGTTCTCATTATCCCATAATGTAAATCAGAGATAATAACAACTAATGCTTCTTTTTTTTTTTAAGAAATAAGAAAGCAGGGAAGCGGGGAGAATATGTTGATTTTAAGAATCTATTCAGACTGGCGTATGACGTAAATTAGCTGTAAAAACCAGTTCTGAGCAGAGTACGAAAGCAAATTAAGGAAATGAAGATATAAAGAGGCGTGTAGATTGTTTAAAAATCTGTTTAGATTATAAATTACACAAGTACCATTTCTGTGGAGATGTATTATGAAAGGAGAGAAACAAACTTCTTTCTACATGGAAGTATATAGTCTGTTTATGATAGTTTCTCAATTTGTTTTGCAGGAGTTCGTTGACGTTTCCACCATCTGCTAGTTATTCAATACACCCGGAAAAATTCTAAGCAGCCTGTGGTCTCGTCTGGTATTATATTACACAGTTGGCGGTTTTGCAGTCAACTCTAATTGCACGCATGGCTTCGTTTCTAACTGGCGTCTGGCCAGGTGCGGTCAACAACCACCAGCACAAACAATATTTTACACATTTGCAATGGGATCTGTTGATTCACTTGCATTCTACGAGTAGATACCATATTTCTCGTTTTAAACGTTCTTTTTACATCGAAGGACAGAGTTACAAGGAATCACAGCCCGAGCTTAGCTATGCTTCTTTCGTTAAGAATTTATTTTATATTTGTTCTACAGCTTTTGCAGAATTGAAGAAGAAGAAGAATCCACAGGCGAGTACAGAGATGATGTAGTTGACTAATTAAAAATGAAAGGGAAAGAGGTTTCGAGATGAAATAACAGAAATGAACAGAGAAAGGAGAGTTCGGAGTCAAAGTATTTATTTTGAAAGAAAGAAGTTTACAAGAGATTTGAATTGATTTGTTTTGAGAGAAAGGAAGACTGCGAACCTGTTAGAGCGAGAAAGATATCCAGCAGAAGCACCCAGCGTACGGTACTCTTGCAGATACTCATGATCTTTTCGGAAACTGTACGCGTTGTCACTCCGTCTGTGTTGTCCTGGATCTCCTCCAGGGTCGTGCTGCTACAATGAGTCAGCTGTTCCGTTGATCTCTGCGAAAATAAGAAAAATGATCGTTCATCGTGTTTGTAAACATTTGGAAAAAAAAGACGTTAATATTTTATGCCACAACCATAAAATAGGTCTAACAAGCTACTAATACAAGTACTAATACAAGCAACTTGCATTCAGCGTAAACTGCCATGGTGTATTTATTATACATGTAACACTGCAACAAAAGCTATTTGTGTTCTACAAATATAATAATTATTTTCTAAGATATAGCGCTTCGAAGTTGACGATATTCCTTGTTTACATAATTTTCACATTTTCCTGCGTATGTAATTAAATCTACACCTGCAGCTATAAAGCAAGAATATTAAGAGTATGGCAAATATGAGCAAGACGTTTCGATAGCATATGAAAATAGACTTAGCTATGACGCGAATTTATGAAGCGTGTAGTTAAATAAAGTCTAGTGAATAACCATTTTATTTTCCTACTTTTTAATTCACAACATGACACAACCAAGTATCATGTAATCTTAAAATAAAAAGTATCATAGGTCAGATCAAACTTATTCTTTATCTCTATAGTAGAAAATTATTCTAAATAACATATATTTAATACAGAAAATGAGCCATGAGGAATATATTATTAAATAAGATTACAGTTGTAGATTATTATACGCAGGAAAATGTGAAAATTAAGTAAACGAAAAGAATCGCCAACTTTGAAGCGCTATATCTTAGAAAATGTATTACATTTTATATTTACATTATATTTGGAGAACACAAATAGCTTTTGTTGCAGTGTTACATACAGCCAGTGTAATAAGTATTCGTACAGGAACCATTTATTTTAAATCTTTATCTTTCGAATACATTTACTTCGAATACATTTTTTTATTCGACAGTCATCGAACAAAGATAAGGATTCTTTATTTGTTCTTATCAAGTAAGGAATCTTTATTTGACTATCTTTATTTGAGTATCTTTATTTGACGAGTAATAGATAAAAAAATTTTCATCTTTATTCGATATTTGAAATTTTTATTTAGATTAAAATTTTGGCCATCTCTCCTTTCAGTAACCAGTCATTTAGTTTCGCGGTCAGGATATCTTAGAATTTGCAAACAGTTGAAATTTCAAAGTCGCAAAAAGCTCGCTATATGTAAAGATAAAGTGAAACGCATTTGATCGAGTCAAGTGTAGCTTAATTAGATGCAACTAATTTTGAATTAATTTGAAGACGATAAAAAGTAATCGTTACGTCCAACTGTTAATAAATATACATAGAGAGTTAATGTAATTGTTAACACGACGATTCCATTTGCGTTTCATTAAAAGAAAAAAAGATTATCTGAGATTATCTTGTTCGAAATCTCTCCCATTACACTCGATTAGGTGAGAGCTAAAGTCCGGCTACGCGTTATGAGACAAGTAATAATTAACCTTTGCCAATGTTAGCGTTACATTTTTTTTCTAATCTTTTTTTCTAAATGTATAATATGTAAATTATAATTATACAGTATATTATAATTTAACTTTGAAATGGAAAATGAAAATTGTTGATTAAGAGATCAGAGACTCGTGATATGAACCAGTTGATTTTTGTGAAAATAACATTGGAAAGCGTGTAGCTAACTCTTGCAATTGAATTACGCGACCAAGTACAATTATTTACTACTGGCTGTGCACCGCGGTTTCACAAGTGTGGAATACTATTTATTTTATGTTTTATGCATACAGTTAAATGAAATGAAATAAAACAATTTTTGGAAAGAAAAAGATATAACCGACTTCGAAGAACATTAAAACTGCAATAAAAGGCATGAAATGATTTCTATTTAAACAGCATTATTACTCGTCGCATATTAAATATAATGCAACCCTTTCGGAGTAGCTGCAAAGTTTAAAATTACCTACATTCAAAATGACTAAACTTTAACTGTCTGTCGGAGGAACAAAAAGTATCATGATTAATTATTGCTATCATTACTATTCAGTAACACCTTATACAGAATGACAAAATGAAACTTTTATATTATGTACAGTTTAATCGTATGAAGTTTAGTTTCAGAAATAAAAAATTGAAAACTTAGAGGACCTTGGAACAATGGAAATGGAAAGCGTTGTCAGTTGACAATTACGACGAAATTTTTAAAAATATCTCCTTATAGGGGTTGATAAGGCGAAACTTTTTTGTATTTACGGTTTATTCATACGACGTTCAGTTTCAGAGATAAAAATTGAAAACCTGGAAGACCTTTTTCCTGAAATTCAATTTTTGTTCAGCAACAAACTTTTAACTTTTCAATTTTTATTTTCAAAACTAAAGGTCCTGTGAATAACTTGTAAATATAAAAAAGCTTATCCTATATAAGCTATAAGCTTATATTTTTTTCACATTGATTTAACAAAGATGAACAGACCTAACCCGGACCTCTTTCCTGAAATTTAGTTTTTCCAACAAACTCCTAACTTTTCAATTTTTATTTTCAAAACTAAGCATCCTATGAATAAACTGTAAATATAAAAAAGTTTCGTCCCATCATCCCTTATAAGCTGATATTTTTTTAAAAATTGATTTAACTAATATACACCCTCCGCAGTCAAAGGGTTTAGTTTCATCGTCATGCAAATGGATAAATTCTTGTTAAACTGACATTGGAGAACATGTAGCTAATTAGATTATGTGACTAACTACTGTTATTTACTATTAATTACAGCAACAGTATAAGAAATGAATGAGAGAGGTTCTTAAGGAGAATTTTAAGTTTGTTTCCCTTGTAATGCTGGCTCTGTTAATTATACCATCATGCAAACTAGATAATTGTTGCTCTCAATGGCACGAGGACTTGGACGCGCCACTTCATGCTCTCAATGACATACAATGTGATTATGATAAATTCTTAAAGACAATGTGCCTTTTGTATCTCTGTATTTTTATTCTACATATTCTGTATTGTATGTCTTTGCTATCTAAATATATGTAAATCATGTAGCTATTGTAAGCTTTTACTAATTCAAGGTAATGTTGTAGGAAATAGAAGAGCGAAGTAGATGGCAATAAAAATTGCCATGATTAATTAGGTCGAGGCTTCAAAAGGCGCGATTAATGTTGCTTGATTGAAAAACATGATAGCACATCCGCATGTCCAGAGGGGAAGGTAACTATATTTTAACGCGCAGCCACTATTACGAAACAATTAAGGAAAAATGCACGGAGCAGCGTTCGAATACATCACGTTTGGACACATCGGACGGATTTTATATTTAAGGGAACTCCAAGAAGCGTTTGCGATATTTTATTTAATGGAATTCCATTTTCATGATTAATTCTGTAAATATAGGAAAAAGAAAGGTGGTATTGATTAGACGTTTCGATAGATTCGATGAGGTGATAAATGTTGTGATAAAGAAGCCTTATCGTTCGTATCGAACAAAGAGAGAATTTATCAGTTTTGGAAATTGAGAAATTGTATTATATTTGTCCCAAAAGTTTCTTTCGTTTTATTAATAAGTAATACATTCACAGTATTTTATGCTTTATGTTACATTACTTGCTCCAATGCTATTGTAACACCAATATCTAAGAAATTAGGTTGTCTATTTACATAAACACTGCCACATAAAACAACTGAGTGCAAGTCGCGAAAGAAACTTTTGATACATAGTTAAATATAATATTTACATCAAGTCTTATTCGTATCGAATAGAAAGAAAAAGGAACAATCAGTTCCTAAATTGAGAAAGATACATAGTTAAATATAATGTTCACGTATTTAACAAAAATTAAATATTAATTTACAAACTACTAATATAATACTTGCAAATTAATACCATCGATGGAGGATATTTTACTAACATAATACTTTGCGAATAAATCCTGTATTTATAATGTTCGTTACATCTTCTACTCCATGTATTACTAAATAATATTTATAAGAAATAATGATAGAAACTTACAATGCTTGTTTACAGGTGGAGCCTCGTTTCGAGTGCACTAATTAACAGATTAGTCTTTGAAAAGGATAAAAGTGTCGCGCATTCTTAATTACACGCAATCAAATGAAAATTTCGGAAATTATTGACTGAAACTTTAGTCTTGGAGATTGAGAAAAGAGGAACTGAACTCTACGAATCATTTTCACTCATTTAAAAATATCCATTAAAGTAGACTAACAAAGTTCAATTAAACAAAGTAGATTAAATCACTCTTGAAACATAACTAAAGCGATATATTCCAACTAGAAATTAATTGATATACTCTACAACGACTCTTGAAGAGTCTACCAGTTACGAAAACGTGTGAATCTGTATACAAAAATACTTGAAAATAATCCAACGCGTATCAGCGTCGAGCCACAACTGGCATATCTCGTCTTCAATCAACGACTTCCCTCGCAAGCTCGAATTAAATGTTCTACCCACCCTGTAGCCCCCTCCAGAGCTATCGAGGAAAGGCTTCGACACGTGTGTTATAATTTACGTTAAACGCACCGAAACACCGCGATTAAGAGAGCTCTGGAGCTAAATGATAGTAATATATCATTCTTCTACGTGCAGTAAGTAGTTTTAATATAGTACAATATGCAATAAATTGTCTATATTAATATTTAAGATACGTTGATATTCTACAGAGCATATATATATATTATAAATATATGCAACGTGTAATAAATTGTCTATAATGCTAAATAAAGCAACCGTGATGCACATCGTATTAAAATATAAAGTCTAGTTAACGATAGTTTGTGTATATAATTCATGTTTCTTATAAAGAGGAGTCTTAAACAGCGTGATGTTGATTATCTTAATGTCAGTTTAATATTTAGAGATCTATTGGAACTTTCTTAATGCATAGAAACATTTCAGCGTACAATCTTCATTCGTTTCAAATATTTTGTTTGTGTTTATTATAACGGTGATGTTTAGTCATGAATAGAATATTATTATCTTTTTAGATATATGCACAGGAAGCTTTAACTCCTTTGATTAGTTGATTCTAATTGCTTATCGAGTCCAAGTATTCAAATCTATCTCTAAAATCGTAATTGAAACTGTGCAATGAGTTGTCTAGGAAGCTGTAAAAGAATGGAAAAAGCTCCAAATTTTACAATAAATGAATAAGGTATAAGGTATAAGTATAAAGTTAGAATAATACATGACAGACGAGTAATGGATGAAATGAATATTTACTGAAATGTTTTTTATCAGATCTACATATACGAGTGCATGAAATAAAGAATGATTTATTGTTGCAAGAAATATATTCATATGCTCCAACAAAGCTCCATAATGAACAGGTATTAATGTAAATAAAATTTAGCATTCTTTGCATACAACTGTGTATATGTATACTAATTTATTTTTGTCTTTACTTTAGTATACCAGTGGAATTAAAACGCAGAAGAATTGTATCGTATGAAAATCAAGTTTAGCGTCCCATGCATATAGCATGTATATACATATATATACAAAAGCAATTTAAAAGCAATTATTTAAAAGTATTTACAGAAGTGTAAATTCTATTTCGCAGAGGAAGAAAAGTTTTCTATGTTTCCTTAAAAGTACTAATTACAATATAAGAGTAATGGAAAGTATGTTAAGCAACAATCAATTTGGATAACTAATTTATATATTTATTGATCATTTCTAACCTGCATCGCCAACGTGTAATGTGTCCCAGAAACGATGAGTAATTCTCACAGCTGTTACTCACAATCTATCATAGACAAAGGGAACATTTACAATCTCTCTGAAAATGGTCACAAATTTCACTTTGAACGACAAGCATCCCTTTAAATAGCGTCATGTGAGTGATTCAACTTTAGAGTATTCGATTCTGAATCGATTCCCGTGAAAATCGACTCCATTGTCACGACTATCGAAATTTAAATCCCACTTTTTATGTTTATTTTTGACAAGGAATTTCGTTTGTTAATTGCCAACATCCAGCATATGGTAAATTTCCTCTTTTATTCTATTTAAAATTTATATTTAAATTTGAAGTTTAGAGTACAAGCTTGTCATTTTTCCAGAAGAATTGTCTAACTGGAGCATGGAGCTGATTGGAGTCTTCGCTGCGAAAGCTTTACAGTCCTAAAAGGACCATTCTCAAAAATTTATTGTTGAAAGAAGAGAATTGTTTATATCTCAATTAAACATTCCCAGACAGTATGTACTAATACTGTACAATCTTTAGACCACATCAAGTAAGCATACTTAATACAATAATCAACAATAATCACATGAATTCCACTCAATTTTTCTAACATAACCTCAAAATTTTTGTAGGAACCACCATGAATACAGCTACCAATGCTACCAAACCTCAGCAATATCGATGGAAAGCCTCGCTTAGGGTCGAAATTCAAATCCAAATTTGTTTATTATACTCAAAAGAAATAACTTTTTATAATCTTATAATGTAACTATTGCCTTGCATCGAAGTATCTTGATTCGCAGAGCGTAGACATTCTCTCAGCCATTTTCTACCCATCGAATATTAAATACTACGCTTATTTGATGCACAGTGGCTCTAGAAATAATACAGTACCCTCTGAATTAATAATACAATAATTGCAAAGAAATTGTAGCTTTTACCTGCTTCAAAGGGAATAGAAAATTATATGCTTCATTCTCAGCATACATTTACGCTAACATTTACATACATTTTCAGATAATTTCTGTCTGGTGGCCATAATTAAAGAGTGGAAGGACAAAGCAGTAATTGTAGCAGGAGAAATGGTAGATAGTTGAGATAGATTTTAATTGACCAGAGTGCTGTAGATATGATAGCGAATAGTACTCTCGAAGGAAGTGGCGGCAGCGTATATGGGGAAGATGGAGAGGACATCATCAGTAGGCAGCGAACCTCTAAGAAAGCCAGGGTGAAATTCACAAGCCTTAAGAAATATATATTCTTGAGAGATACAGCGCAGAGAATTGTAAGAGATGACTTACCTAAGTAGAAATAATTATGAGGATAAATACACAGTGTAGGATATCTTATATTTCAGGTCTACTGTATATTCTTCTGTTACGACTGCATCATCAACTGCACATGCTGTATACTTAAAATTCCTGAGAGCTGAAAGCTACCATGGACTTTAAAAACTTGAACAGTTTCAACGTCCTAGTCAATACTCTGTCTACCAACCTGCTACCTCTAACAAAAGAGAAAACAAGCTTATCCACCCTCCTGAAAGTCTACTGGATCCTAGTCTGGACCATGGAACTAGTATACCTAACAGTCTGCATCCTTGGTCTCCTCTACGTGCCCAAGGAGAGAGCTCTACAAGACAGCACAGTAAACATATTGGTTTCCTCCGAAGTCATCGTAATGATAGTCTACTTGAGTAACCGTAAAGGGATGATATGTGCACTGATAGAGAAGTTGAATAACATTCTGGACACGGATGATAAGACCCTGAAGAGTACTATTATTCAGACCCTGAAACCACTGGAGAAGCCTCTGAAAATTTACGCGATAGCCAGTGTTGGTACGGTTGCAGTCTGGGCAGCACTGCCACTGATTAGAATATTTAAACAAAGCGAGTTTCACTATGTGGACTACAGGATACCAGCTGCGTTATCAAAGGAACCCTTTTCGATTAGTGTTTTCATCGGTGGTGTTGTCTTGGAGTGCTTGGGGAGTCTGTATTCCATTGCGAGGAAGGTCAGCTTGGACCTGTACACCATGCACTTGATACTGTTGATGACTGCGCAATACAAGTATTTGAGGATCGAGTTTGAGAAAGTTCTTAGGAAGGAAGTGCAAGATTGTGGACGGTTGAATCGTTTGGATAAGGATGGTAGTTTGGACAAGATGTTTTCCAAGGATGAGGAAGTGACCAGACAGAGATTGAGAGTGCTGACGCGACATCATGGAGCGGTGGTCGAGTAACATTTATATATTTATTGTAATAGTAACGTTAGGGAACATTTAGAATTTAGTTATTTAAAATTTTAACGCTATGGAGAACCATACATAATGAATATTTATTTATTATTAAATGAGAACGTTATAAAGAACAACGCATTCAGACATTTATTTTAAATAGTAATGTTACAAGATAGTAACATTTATACATTTATTACAGGTTGGCCGTTATATTGAAGACACTACTCTCCCCAAACATCGGAATACTCTACATAAACAACATCTTTCGCCTCTGCTTCTTAAGCTTCATGATAATAACGGTACACCACGTTTCCTAACTTCCTCTCTAAATTCTCTTCGTTTCTTTACAGAATACTTTATACAATTCTATTCTCCTTTTCAGGTACACGCTGAACATTTCGAGAAACTTTTAGTTGTACTATATGCAGTTGGCGCAGTAACTCAACTGTACGTATTGTGTTTCTGTATCCAACAATTACTCGAAGCGGTAAGATTCTCTATAGAATATTACACTCGATAATACTCTTCAAAGGGTATTATTAAGATTACAAGAGTATCATTACAAATTGCTTCAACACCGAACCTACCACTACTAAATGGCCATTTTCAAACTTTTCTATACAGTTCTTCCATCCGATACATGAATCGTATACAATTGTTTCCATGCATCGTTTAATCTTTCGATTTAATTGAACAAAGTGTCTCCAGGACCAGTCATTTGTTCTATCGCGATAGAAATAGTTAGAAATTGGAACGTTGGCAAGTTTAGTGTTAAAAATAAACAATAAATTCTACAAAAGTCCATCAACCTTTTAAAGCAAAGTTTGACTTAAATGAATTTTAATGAATTTAATTAATTTGTACTTGAATTAGAGCACGGCGATCATGAACGACGCCTTCCACGCGGAATGGTATCTCCACAACGCGTCCTTCCAACGCGAGATCGCTATTATGACTTTAGCTGGCAAACTGGAATGCAGACTATCAATCTTCCGTAATACTGATTTAACGCTACCATCTTTCATGTCGGTGAGCAACTATAATTCACATTAAACTCAACGTTGCTATACGATGTATAGATACGCATTATATATATATATATATATATCCATTGAATTATACAATGTATATACATTGTATATAATATTCATTTGCTCTTGTAACTTTCTAGATCTTAAATCAAGCGTACTCTGTATGTCTATTATTTTTGAGAGCACGAAAGGATTAAATTGTGCTACGGCTCCTGTCAATAAACCATGACATACCATTAAACAATCTAATAGATCAATGGTTACATCGACTGTAATCATATATCAATAAACGTTTCCATGAAATTATTATTGTTAACGCCATAGTCTGATTAAGAAAAAGCTAAAAAATATGGGTGCTAAATTAGACCTGGCACAGGTCACAGCGGAGTACCCATCTAAGCGGTGGTAAACTTTCCTGTCTCCAATAGCTTGCGTTGGCCTGTAATTAAAATCTAAAGTCCCATTACTCGTTCCAGTGCTCTTGAACATGTTCACCTGCAAGTGGAATACCACCAGTCGGTTAATTCTAGGTTAATTCTAGGTTAATCCATGACCAAGAACTGCTAGAATAACGTTAAACATACCTGCTGTTTAGATACCGTGAGTTTCTCGGTAAAGACGAACCACATCACAGACTCTTGGCACTCTGGAGTGGTCAATGACCCATTGTAGCGATAGTAGGTCGTGTGATTCTTTGGTAGAAACAGATAAGGGATCACCTTGAACCTCATCATCGCTGTACTCTTCCCTGTCCATTTAGGCACTAGCTCTATCGCCTTCACGATGGGCATTAGATCGAAGTTATCTTGTGTATCCAACTGGAATAAATTCTTCTGTATATGTTACACAAGTAGAGATGCATTCTACAGTAATATTATGGTAGATTGGTAGCAACAAATGAGTTACAGGCCTGTAGAATTCTTATGTAAATGCATATGCATTATGAATTTACTTTGGCCTGGATTAGTATATCCTTGCAATGCTTTCGCATGAGGTTCAGAGAGCGAAGCATGAGACTTCGATGTGATTCAGAGAGAACGAAGCATGAGACTTTGAGAGAATCGCAGAGGATCAACTTTAAAATAGTACTTGTAAACGAAGTGCATATTCAACAATTAAGACTTGAATGTTTCAAGGCTACAACTTGACAATTAATATTGAATTAATCCTGTCTTGTATGCTTGTATACCTCAAATAATGTGGCAACGACAGCAATACCATTTTCATGTTTCGCTGCCTCGCTCGCGTTGCCATATTTATTATCATAATGCACAAAGTGTAGCTCTAACGCATCTCGAGTTTCATCCACTGTGTGTTCAGCGGGCCAGTGAAAGTGCATTTGGTCCAAAGTATACCTGGAAGGAAGATCTCCTCCTTCGAGGTGGATAGGAACTCCATACAAACTAATTTGCACTGCGAAGAGAGTTAAGTACAAGTTTATTATAATTAATTGGAATATTACAAGTATATTTCTAGTATATGGACCGTACAACCCTACAATAGGGATACAATATATTTTAGGAAGATAATTGTGTTCGAAGCTCTGCAATCTAAAAGTATTTGTTCTTCAATGATATATTTCTTGCAGACTGTTTGAAAGACGTATTCTGGACTCTAGTTAGAGTATAATAATTTATATTTTCTCTTTTCTTTTATTACATACCAGCGTGACCATTGTTGGTAATTTCGCCAGTGGCGGCGAAATCGTATCTTATGAATTTCAGCGCGCCAAGATCAGCTTTTATAGTCTCTTCAGACATAATATTTATAGGTGATTGTTTTTTCCCTGTCGCGCATAGTCCTGGCCAGTGTGGAGGACCTTAAGGGAAGACTTAATCTATTATTTTATGATAAATACACAGAGTAAGACGAGTATGCGTAGCAAGATATAACAATAATAATCAGTGTACGTAGAAATTAACGTCATGTTTACTGGCCTGATGTATGAGGAAATAATTGAGATGAAAATTTGAAAGTTTTAGGGCTTTTACTTGCTATTACAAGTAACAACTCTGTCAAGTTTCGCATCGTGCCATCAATTTTTACCAGAGTTACAAAGAAAAAAGGTAACGGATCAAACAAATTCCATTTGAAACTTTCTAATCTTTTAGTGCAGCTATGCTATTAAAATTAAGAGCTGAAATTTCACAGGAATCTTTTTTCCGTGTATTTGCATTCTATCTAGAGGATAGTGTAACATATTGTGTAACATATATTCCAAAAATCATTGGAACAAGGCTTCGGTTAAATAAAATCTTAATTTTTCTAGGTGGATTACCATGGATCCCCCAATAAGCCCAATCTTCGGAAGCTGTAACCACGTACAAACCTGCAACACGATACATTTATAATGTATAAATCGTATTACGATTTTATATTACCTTAATATTATTCAAATGGTAATATTGATAATGCCAAGTTTATTCCAGCACTTGGCATTTTTATGAATATTATTCAATTTCGTGTGTGTACTGTTCGTCCAACGGAAAGCTGCCTATGCTAATTCGGTATCTGTTCCTCTGCCTGTAGAGTCCATTTGCCCAATAAGCTCGATAAGTATTTGATTGGACAGGAAAGCAACCGACAGGAAAGCAAAATTAACCTTGCTCGTCGTTGACCGAGCCAAATTCATTTCGGTACATTTTTATTCCCATGTAACGTTATTTATTATTATTATTATTATTATTATTATTATTATTATTATTATTATTATTATTATTATTATTATTATTATTATTA